AATTAAAATTTACTTTCTCCCAATAAAGAAAGTCATATAATTGGTATGCAAATAAGATGGAGAGCATAGATAGTAATTAAGATGTCATATTAACCCGCTTTAACTTAAAATATAACATATTTATATATTTTCGGTTAACCACGTAATTTAAACGCTTCTATAAAATTGTTGACTTCTAATCTAATGTCAATCGCTTCCTCCTTGAGAAAGTCACCGACTTATACGAAGAAATTAATTTTCAAAAATATTATCCATGAGATACTGGCAATATTTAGATTGAAACATGCAGAAGTCGATTAATTAAAAGTAAGTACCCTGTGGCAGACTTATTGGCTGCCGTAACAGTCCAAAGTATCGGACAAGGGATGAGGAGGTCCTGAGATGTGGAGTCTACGAGAATGATTTCTGGAGGAGGAGAACCTAAACCTCGGGCATTTAGCGTTCGTAAATGTATCAGAGATCTGCTGGCGCACCGACGACTGCAGTCCCGAATCTATGTAGCTTTGATTCGCCCGACGAAGCAGCAACTATATCGAAGAAGCAGGGGCTATGTTTTCGTGAATTTGTCTGTGGTAGCGAAGACTTTTACACCGGTGACATAGATCTTCCTTCTCTTATCTGTCCTCTTCGTATCAGAAGGTCAGAAAACGATGACTGGAGATAGACTTGATCGCAGCGAGTGGCCAGTTGCTCACCGAACACTCAACTCACACTACGGATTATAAATTGGTCGGGTATCATAGTAGCCACTGCAACCAAGTTCTTAATTTCAAGTAGAGTATTAGGCATCTGTTGGCATGCTTCGAAGCTATTTCTTCATGCGAAGTTCCCTGTAAAAATGATAACTCATCTAATATGCATGTTCCCGTGGATTTTAACCACCCCGAGAAATTAAAACATCTCTTTCAAAAATAGATTTAGGTATCTGTCTGAATGGTAGCTACTTTTACAACTTAAGTAAACGCATTTACCAAAAACAATTTTTTAAACCTTGGTTTAAATTTTTATGTGATAACCCATCCCTTCTAACTTGTTTGAGTCAGCAGACGACGTCCTACAAGGTAAAATTAAAAAAATTCAAGGCCGGGAAATTCCTTTCTAGTCCTAACACGGGCAATCACATCGCAAAATCTGATCACAAAAAAGAAAAAAATGGAGAGAATGCGCAAAGGGGGTGAGGCTTACCACGTTGCGGTAGTGTAGATGGGCCGCAGAGGCGAATAGGAGTAGAACTTGAAAAAAACACTGATGCAGCTGTCCGCGAAGAGGGGAAAATTGAAGATGGCTATACAGTGGATGGACATAGTTGCTCGCAGAAGGCCCATTCGACGATAGGGGGAGAAGAGGGACATGTACTCGGCGTACCTAGGAGAAATGGACTCCAAAAGTAAGTAAAGGTTCAGACTGGCATTCATATTAATTCACGATAACTGCACTTGATTCAACTATGTTTACTTGTGTTGCACGATACGCCGTAGCACAGATACTACCTAAAAGTCCCCCTATAGACCCCTGAAGTATACCAATTGACTGCAACTTAATTTCTAAGCAGACGAAAAAGCTGCAATTTCAGAACTGGAGTATTAACCAGAAAAAAAACCAGAAGTAAAGTGGTGTAACACCATTGATTAGCCGGACCTCTCGCAGCTGTACCA